TCTCATGAAATGTTATCCTATAACAGGTTATCCCACAGCAGATTATCCTACAGCAGATTATCCTACAGCAGATTATCCTACAGCAGATTATCCTACAGCAGATTATCCTACAGCAGATTATCACATATCCCATAGTAGATTATCTCATAACAGATTATCTTGTAACAGATTATCTAAGAGCAGGTTATTCTATAGAAGACTGTCTCATGAAATGTTATCCTATAACAGGTTATCCCACAGCAGATTATCCTACAGCAGATTATCCTACAGCAGATTATCACATATCCCATAGTAGATTATCTTATAACAGATTATCTTGTAACAGATTATCCAAGAGCAGGTTATTCTATAGAAGACTGTCTGCCGAAATGTTATCCCATAACAGGTTATCCCATATCCCACAGCAGATTATCCCATGACATTTTATCCCATGTCCTACAGCAGATTATCCCATGACAGGTTATCCCATATCCCACAGCAGGTTATCCCGTAGCAAGTTATCCCACATCCTATCAGCAGTTATCCCATGTCCGATTGGAGGTTGGGACCCACCTGCAAGGTTGCACACTAACTGACGGCCTGCAGGCGGTAAAGCCCACGCGGCGATAAGACCTTATCGGGACTGGGTCTTTCCTACTGCGCTCAATTTTTTTTTCTGCCGTGCCCAACCCAGCGTTCCTTCCCTCTACACCACACAGCGGCGACTCAACACCAAGCCCACGATGCCGCCCACCAAAACCCAGACTCAATGGAAGGATATACCTCCAGTTCCATCGTCGACTGAGTTCCTGGACATCGTCCTTTCGAGGACTCAACGTCGACTACCTACTCAGATACGCGCTGGCTTCAAGATCGCACGTATAAGGGGATTTTACACGAGGAAGGTAAAATTCACTCAAGAGACGTTCTCAGAGAAGATTGGGAACATACTCGAGACGTTTCCACGCATTAATGAGGTGCATCCTTTCCATAAGGATCTTCTGCATACTCTATATGATGCAGACCACTTCCGTATCGCCCTGGGCCAGTTGTCGACCGCAAAGCACCTGATCGAATCCATCAGCCGTGACTATGTGCGGCTCCTCAAGTATGCGCAGTCACTTTTCCAGTGCAAGCAGCTGAAGAAAGCAGCTCTGGGACGCATGGCCACCATCATCAAGCGTCTCAACAACCCTCTGAAGTACTTGGATGAGGTCCGACAACATCTTGGCCGTCTGCCGTCGATCGACCCAAACACTCGAACCCTCGTCATTTGCGGATATCCCAACGTCGGCAAGAGCAGTTTCCTCCGCTCAATCTCCCGCGCCGATGTTGACGTGCAGCCATACGCCTTCACCACAAAGTCCCTCTTCGCCGGTCACTTTGACTACAAATACCTCCGTTTCCAAGCTGTTGATACCCCTGGAGTCCTGGACCATCCCCTTGAGGAGATGACCACCATTGAAATGCAGTCCATCACAGCGATTGCTCACTTGCGCGCGGCGATCCTGTACTTCATGGATCTCTCAGAGCAATGCGGTTACTCTGTCAAGGCACAGTGTGCGCTGTTCAAGAGCATCAAGCCACTCTTCGCCAACAAGATCTGCTTCATTGTGATCAACAAGATTGACGTGACTCGGCCAGAAGACCTGGACGCCGAAACCCAGGCTGAACTGCAGTCTCTGCTGAAATCTGGAGAGGTCGAGATGGTCCAGGCGAGCTGCAACACACAAGAAGGTGTCCAGGCTGTGAAGAACGCGGCTTGTGAGAAGCTGATTGCCGAGCGAGTGGCATCGAAACTGAAGGCTGGCCAAACAAGCAGTGGTGCTGCTGGAAGCCGGTTGACTGAGATCATGACCAGAATCCACGTGGCCCGGCCCATGGAGGGAGCCAAGCCTCTGGAAACATTCATTCCTGAAGGTCTCAAGGACTTGAAGAAGTACGACAAGAACGATCCCGAGAGGCGGAGACTTGCACGAGACATTGAAGAGGAGAACGGCGGCGCTGGTGTCTTCTCGGTGGATCTGCGGAAAGATTACCTTCTCAAGAACCCAGACTGGAAGTACGACAAGATGCCCGAGGTCGTTGATGGAAAGAACGTGTTTGACTTCATTGATCCGGACATTGAGGCCAAGCTCGCTGCTCTGGAGGAGGAGGAGGAGCGCCTGGAGAATGAGGGCTATTACGATTCGGAGGAGGAGATGGACGATGATGAGGAGGAAGAGATCCTGGAGAAGGCCCAGCTCATCCGCGAGAAGCAGGCTCTCATCCGCAACGAGTCCAGGATGCGCAAGTCCCTCAAGAACCGCGCCATAATACCCCGAAGCAAGACCAAGAAGCCGCTGTCACAGCTCGCTGATCACCTGGACCAGCTGGGCATCGATGCGACCGAGGTCGAGGCCCGAGGCAGGGCGATGGCACCCGACTCGCGTGGCCGTTCTCTCACGAGAAGCCGTGCCGGCACCGAGGTCTCGGATGTCATGGACGTTGATAAGACTCCTCGGGAGCGGTTGAGGTCCAAGAGCAGGGCGCGCAGCCAGGCCCCCGCCACTGACAGATTACACGACGGTATCACCGACGAGACGTCGCGAACCAAGGCCGAGAGGACGGCCAAGCTTTCGCAGAGGAAGATGAACAGGATGGCGAGACAGGGTGAGGCTGACAGGCACGTTCCTGCGTCCTTGCCGAAGCACCTGGTAAGTCAATACACCACAAGGCTCATGGCCATTACTCGCAGAATGTCAAGACTCTATGCTAACTGGGTAAATAGTTTGCTGGAAAGCGTGGCATGGGCAAGACCTCTCGCCGCTGAGAGGGGAGCACGGAGAGAGTGGGAGGCAAAAAAGACACGAAGAAACACAGGGTTTCTCCATGGACAACGGCGTTTGGCGACGATATATCAGGGTTTCTTTTGCTCAAAAGCCATGTGCTTCATGTGCTGAGGTAGATGATAATTCGATGAGACGGCCTCCTGTGGCTCACTTGATACGAAATGAATTCAAGCTAGGCTTTCCTGCGTGTGTAAGTGCTTGTCTCGTCCGCCATCGACCCACTCCACAATGGATTGCTGGTAAATGCCGTCAGAATAGTTCATACCTGACATCCTCCCGGGCTGTCGATGTTGTTGAACAGGGAGGATGTTGTTGAACATGACGTAGTGGAATCTTGTTTCAGCAAGTCAACACTTCGCGGTGCAATTTGGCAGAGAGCCGCTCATTGAATGCTCACAATCCTCAAAAACCTTTCATTTATCGGTTGCTCCTTGCACGGTATTATCGTGTCTGCTATGTGCTCTTTCACTACTAATAATGAACTCGACCTAAATTTGGTCTTGTCAAACAATTTGAGCTCACAAGCGCATCCTCCCTCAACCCCACCTAAGTTCCTGCACCCTGCTTTATTCCTCCGCAACCTGGATACCCTCCCGCAGGCCTTCCACCTTGAGCTCCTCACCCGCGCACCGGCGGTATATGTCCTTGACGTCATCGGTTGTGGTCTCGAAGTGGCTCGTGGCATCGTAGCTCTTGGAGATGAAGATCTTGTCCTTGGTGCCATCGTCAAGGGGCTCGTATAGGGGAATAGGAGCTCCCAAGAACTGCTCCTCGATCTTGCCGAGGCGCTCCAGACCGGGCTGGAGCTCCAGGTGGTGGTTTGCAGATGTCTCGGCGATAGTGGAGACGATGGCAATCCAGTAGCCCTTGGGGCACACGTTGTGTGCGGAGGAAACGCAGGCGATGTAAATGTCTTGTCTTTGTCAGTCACAGCTAAAAGATTCGGGCCTCTTGAGAGGGACTCACCGTTCTTGCGGCCGACCTGAGACTGGGGGATGATCAGCTGTGCGGAGTCGGCGTCGGCGGTGCCCGCCAAGGGGTGCTTCAGCACGCAGATAGCACGCAGCACATGGCCCGTGACCTTGACCTTGTTGGGGAAGTAAGAAGGGTCGCCGAGAACCATCTTGGCCTTGGTCTCGAACTTCATCTCAGGCTCAATGCCAGACATGGTGGCCTTGATACCGACTGCTGCACCACCCTCGTACAGCACCTCGTCAACGCTGGTGTTCAGCATGTAGGTGCCGCCATAGATGGCAGACAGACGTGCAAAGCCCTGGGGCAGCTCGCCGAGTCCGTACAGAGGGTAGATGTAAGGAGACTTTCCGTACCGGGCCACCGAGTTTCCGTAAAGACGGATGCGCTCGATAGCCTCGGGCGCGGTACCCTTGGTGGTGGCATAAGTGTCATCCAGATACAGAGCCATGGCATGGCCGATGAAGTCTTTAGTGCCATCCTCGAGGCCGAACTTGTCGTAGACATCCTTCATTGTGCATGTGCTCAAGTCGAGACCTGAAACGGGTTAGCTCGTCTCGGTCTCAAGCCTTGCCTGCGCCAGGAGTGAGGGTCCACGGGAGGCTTGTACTGACCCTTGTGTGTGGAAGGGTCCTTGAGATCGAAGGTGCCAACCCACTCAATGAAGCTCTTCATCCGGCGCTTCTCAAAGATGCCCATAAGGGGCGACTTGAGAGCCTCGCCGGCATCAGATGGCACCTTGGCAACTGTGGCCTTGGGCCCAGAGCCCTGTTGCACGTAGCTCCCTGCGACCTGCTTGAACTCGAGGTATCTGGTGACGTCCGTGGACACGAGGATGTTGGTCAACTCGCCAGAAGACATGAGCAGCTTGGGGATAAGGTCGATGTTCCAGTCGTTGGGGCGTCCGTATTTCTTCCATGGCTCGTCGCCTTGGCTGTAGTTGCCGTACTTCTTGAAGAGCTGGGAAATGTGTTAGGACTGTAGGGTGGCAGAGGGAGCGCATCGCGGGGACATACAGTCTCGAGGTTGACAGAGGCAGCCTCACTGTGTCGAGGATAGTCAGCGCATGTTTCAACCAGGAATCGCCAGCGAATGTCGGACTGCAAGGATGTAGCTCACCCGCCATAGTGGTCGTTGCGGTCAATGTGCAGGACCTTCTTGCCCTTGACACTGAGCACACTGGATTGCGAGGCGTATCGTCAGCTTGCAGCTCCCGAGAACAGCCAGCCGGCCAGGATTTCCGTGAGAAGTATTTACCCAGAGAGAATGCATTCGGTCAGACCTGTCTCGGAGTCAACACCATCAGTTTCGAACACGACACGCAACAACTCAGGGCGGCACGCCACAGCGATAGCTTCAGGAGAGGCAACGGGAACGAACCCCACATTGCGGGGTTGGAAACGCGAATGACGGAGACATACCTGTGCCCAGCACAATGACATCGTACTCCTTAGCAATCTCATCCATGTTTGCGTTTGGTTTTTGCTTCTGTTTCTGGAATCTGGCTGTGAGGGTGCAGCACTGTCTAGGATCGAGGGAGTTTTAGAGGGTGAAAGAGATGCGGTCGTGCAGTCTCGGTGCCAAAGGGAAAGTCGAGGCAGGTCAAGTCAATAATAGGAGAGTCGGTGTGTTTTGGCTGAGCTGTCCGAGACTCCAACCCACCTGCATCAGAGGACTGGAGCTCCATTGCCGAGCTAACTGGTACCCGCTTCCCCTGATTGGCCTGCCCTTTGCAGTGCTGCACGCTGGAGTTGGCCACCAGCTGGGACCACTCCAGAGTCCAAGCTGTCATAGGCGAAATACAATCGGCCTCCCCGTAACCACCTGGCTTCGCTTCCTGCGAGACTCATCTTAATGACAAGTCGATGGTGTTGCGAGGGAGCTTCGCATTACGTGGCTAGAGGCCGGCCCATAGCTATTGCAGTAGTAGTGTTCCTCTCGCGGATGGTACAGTCCCAGTGATCATCAGCCATGATAATCTCAACACTACTCCAACTCAACTGACAACAGCTGCTTGCACCTTGGGTTGTTTCAAGGTGTCATCTGGCATAATTCAGGGCTGGGAATATTGTGATTCTGTACAGTGAACTTTGATACATCCATTGGCTCCAGACCGGCCCTTGAGGCCAGCTTCTCCGGGCCCGTCTCCTGAGTGGCGGAAAGGGGCATGTAGGCATTGTTTGTGTCCCTCATACCGCCTGCTCCCTACGGCCATTGACGCCGTCTTGAGCATCCTTCAAACAAACCTCATGCCCTAGGAGAATCGGCGTGCGCCTTTCCTGGGCTCGATATCGTTGACGGGTCAATTGCCTCTTGTGAAGACTTGGTCTCCTTGGGCGCCTCTGACCTTCCACCGGCGGTACTCTGCTCCTCGGTTTCTTCCTCCCAAGCCGTCTCCTCAGATTCCAGATATGAGCCATTGGGGGTGTAAGCGGGTCCCGTGCCGGAAAGATCGACCTCCGGGTCTTGTTGAGCCAGCTTCCTCGCGTCCTCCCACGCATAGAACCTCTCCGTCAGGGCGTGCTTGATCGCAGACTGGGTCTTCCGCACCTGTAGAGCAAAGTCGACATCAGCAAAACCGTCCTTAGACTGGGCAGTGGCCGGCATTGTCCATCGAGGTCAAGACGAGCCGCATAAATAGAAACATACCTGCATCTCCCTCGACCTGCTCTCGTTATCACCGTACCCATACTTTCCCTTGGTCCTCTCCCAATTGGCCGTAGCAATTCTGTTTCTCTCCTTGACGCACACCCACCACAGACTATGTAAGTCCTCCCAGCTCTTGCGCCGCAGCTCCTCGACCTTCCACGCCCGCCCGTGGGAGGCATCCTCCTCGGGGGTGTTCAAGGGCTTGTCCTTGGTGTAAAAGAAGTCCCATAGCCCATGGTCCGCGTCTGTTTCAACCACTGGGAAATCCTCGGGGTTGACGGGCCTCGGCAGGGGCTCGTTGTCTACAGAGAGGACTTCGCGTGTGCCCGTGCCTCGCATCGCGGACAGGCCGCGCTGGCGATTGTGGTCGCGGTTTCTGCGGCGCTTGCTGAGCGGTGCTGTCGTTGAGAAGAGGCATGTCTGTCGGCTCGAGAGGGACTGGTATGCTATGGCGGCGGACGTTGGGGCGAGTGGTCGCTGCGAGGCTGTGAGGCTGCTTCGCTGGCACGTCTGTAGAGCGCGCTGAAGACAGGGTCGCGCAGCATTGGGGCTCGCCATTGTCAGAACTGCCTCTCTGGCTCCGCGGCCTGGAATACTAGGTGACGTGTTGGAGGCTGGGTTGAGTGAGGTCTGTAGGCCCGGTTTTTGGGTTGCTGTGCCGCCCAGAATGCGATCCCAAAAATTTGGCAACAGACGCGAGCTAGCCGCGTGGGGGGAGGATGCTGTAGGTGGGCACAGGGGTCAGACTGCCTGCCGCAGAGCCTCCATGCAATGCAAGCCACATTCTCGACGACGTCAAACTCGATTGCATAGCCCGAAGAGTCTGCACAAACCGACCAAAATTGAGTCTGGTCACTTCTGACCAACTAGGTAGGTGCAATCACATCTTCCCGTAAGATCAGCCCACTTACAATTCGCAGCCACCGCGGCAGTAATGCGCTTGCAGTGACAATTAGGACGGTGACATCGACTCCAGAGAGAGAGGGGAGATAAATAAGCCTGGTCATATCATGTCACTTTGGAGGTAAGATTCGAATGGAGAAAAATGCATTCCCTTTTCACAGGCTGACATAATGACCCAAGGGCATACCAAGGCCTCTCATCCAAGGCAAGGCTCGGTGTAGGTGTTGGGCTTCTTGGATGGGGTATTGTAGGCCTCTATGTGTCTGACCGTGCAGAAGAGAGGTTTGGTTATACCCCATCCGATCAAGATAAGGCTGCACTAGAGAGGATGAAACCGAAGATCCACGTGGTCGACCGTGACGAGAAGCTGTGAGATGGAAGGCGGATAGGCTCGCTGGAATGCCAGCTCAGACTTGCCAGGTACTCGACACAGAAAAGTACCGAGACAGACACAGGGATTGCCGAATTATCCCACAAGAAGTAGAAGGCTGCCTCAACAGAGGTCAACTTACTTAAAATTGTCACTGCAATTTCCCCACTGGAAGGACGTGCTATTTGACCCTGGAAGTTATCTGTCGATGTTTCGGATCCACAGGAGCTGCACGCCATACTGGCAGTATCTCCCAGGAAAACCCACGGCCGATGAAGAGTCATAATAGCAGGCGCTACCGAACAAATAGAGGGCGGTACCCCAGGTGGCTCCGTTTTAGAAAATGCTGCAACACAGAAGTGCTCGATGAGTGAATGGCTCAGGGTGGCTCCGGAGAGGCAAACCAAGGGCCATTGGCACTCTGCAAAGGAACCTCGGGAGCAAATATAGCATAGCGCAAGACATTCTTCCGTATTGCATTTGTCAAATCGAAATTCCACTGGTCAATTATACATCTTCTCTCGCGATAGGACTATTCATGACCAAAGCTATGACAACCTGATTTTCCATTCAGTCGAATGCCATCAGCCTATTCCTGATGCACTCTTGTCTAAACATGTCTAATGCGAAGCCCCCGGATTCGGGAACGTCTATCATCGCCGACCACCTGAAAATGCAAAGCAAAATGCCACCGTCAAGCCGCCAGTCTGATATGCAGGGGGAATCGAACTTTTCGGACTGAGGGCCGGAAGGTCACTTCCAAAACGCCACCAATGCTGACGGAGCCTCTGGTTTTTTCGGAAAAGAGAGAGCGAAATTTTGACAGAAGAAGGAAAAGATGGAGGAAAGGGGGTGGGGGTAAAAAGGGGAAATCCAATGCTTCAGTCTCGAGTCCTAGAATAATGGCCACATCTAAACCGCCTCAGTCTTCATGTGGACCGAATGGCGCCTGGCGACTCTGCCATGTCAAGAAATGGTCGGAACAACTTCGCCATGTCCAGCGTCCAATCAGTCGCACCGTAATCCTTGTCGATCGCATCAACCGACCCCAACTCCTCGCCTCTATAAGCCCCATCTGAGCGTACGTAGCTGTTGACAAACTTGAGGAGATGAATGACTTGTGAGAACCGTTGCTCTGAGGCCATCTCGAGATCTCCCAAACGCGTGTTCTTCAGAAGATAGTTGGCGAGCCAGTAGAAAGGAATCGCGTCCTTCGAGAAGCCCTGCCGCCGAGGATTTCGCGACGAGGGCGGGTATTGATTGACAATGTCGAAATCCCAATTCTGCTTGAATTTGTCGAGTGCCGTACGAATAGCTTTGAAGGCATGAGGGGACATGCTTCCGTCAGCGGGAGTATTGCGGCCGCTATTGTTCGCACTACCAGGCGCGCTGCCATCCTTCTGTCCAGTGTTGACAATCCAATCACTATTGGCAAACGATGATGCTTGACTGTAATTAAGAGCCGAGCTTCCTTCGATTTGAGCTCGACGTATGAGGGCCAAAATGCCGTGGACCAGCAGAAACTTCCCAGTTAGGTTGGTTGTGCCGGTCTGGATTCGATAAGAACTGTGCAGAAGGGCGTTTAAGGCGAGGTGCATCTCCGGTTGCTTGGCTCTGCGTGTGCCATCCACATTGCGCACCTGAGCCGCCTCTGGTCCATATAGCCCTAAGGCTTCAGCGCAAGTTCTCGCATCTGTGGCTCCATCCCATGCTGCATCGTCACATGGCAGGGGAATTTGGAGTGACATGACATCGAATTGAGGGGAAATATTGAAGTAGAGGCCCAAGGCTGTGTCCGTCGCAAATATCAGGAACATGAGACGATTTCGCTTCTCTTGTTCTATCCACGAATTCCAGTCAAAATCCGACGGATGATAAGTTGAGGGGTTGAAGCCGGGTTGGTGGAGAGCACTGAACAAGGGCTGTCCTTGAGAGACACGAAGCAGATCGGACTTCCGTGCAAGTATGACGACCCTGGAGTACACCTGCCGAGCGGACTGTCGCTGTTGGGGAGTGCCGTTCCAGATGAGTAAGAGTTGCAAAAGTACAAGAGCTTGAAGCTCCTCCAAGCTGTCTGTGTCGCGCCTTGCAGCCCCCATCTGAGTGCTGTCACTCAACAGGGCGAGAACTCGCGAATCCCTGTCTAGGGCAGACTTCAAGAAGTCGGTGATGAGACGCACGTGTGAAGGCGCCAGGCGATCAGAGTAGCAGGCTCCAATACAACACATACAGGCAAGCAGTCCTGTGAAAGATCTGCAAACATCGAAAGTCGGCATGTGCAGGATTGCAAAATGCCTGTGGAAGTGCGCATACTGGCTGAGGAAGTGCTGAACATTTTCTGGCGAGAAGTACAAATTCATGTCGTTGTGGTGGTTTGAGACAACGCCAGGAGGGTAGAAGAAATCGATGATTTGGTTTGACAAGTGCCGATAAGTCGCATCGTCAATGGGTCGGCCGCCGGTAGAGAGCCCAAAGCGACCATTGGCCGAGTTTGAGGGGGGCTGGCCATCGTGTCTCGAGTGGTCGAGATTAGGCTCGGTTTTGATTGCGGTCTGCTGTTGGTTAGGAAAGGTTGACGTAGGGGCTGGATAAGTATGTTGCGCACCGCCTTGTTGTGTGAACATGGTCTGCCAGTCCAAGCCCGACTGCTGGTTGTGGTTTGATCCACCATTGAACATGGGCACACCGTTCTGGCCCTGCGACATGTTGTAGTTCGCGAGTTGGGGGTTGATGTTGGTGGACATAGAGGTCGGGACATTCCCGTTGTATTGCTGCTGCTGCTGCGACGAAGCAGTCATGACCGGTGCGGGCACATTCCTTCGCTCTTCACCATTGGTGTCCTCGAGGCGGTTCATGCTCGACTGTCGTGAGAGCTGGTTCTGGTCATTCATGTGGTTAATTTGGTCCGCTGCTGGAATCAGTCCAAAGGGAACCATGTGGGGGTTTCCCGTTACATTGTTCATGCCGTTCATCATGTCTCCATCGTGCCCCAGCTGCGCAGCTTTGGCGGCAGCCTGCTGCGCCTTCTTAACGTGCGCGTGAGGATGAGACAGATGGCTGGCTCCTGTAGGGTTGCCCCGACGGATCGAGCATTTTTGGAAGTGACGCTTCAGAATGTCACTTCGAGAGAACGTGTCCCGGCAGAGCACACACATGTAGGGACGGTCTCCAGTGTCTGCGTTTTGCATCAAGTCAGATTCCGTTCGACTGACAGCACACACGAGGGCAACTTACGTCGGAGCATATGACGCTTCAAGTGCTTCGCGTGGAGGTAGGTCTTCGTGCAGTGGGGGCATGGCTTCTATATGTTAGCTACCTATCACGGAGCCCAGGGCAGCAGATTGAGGAACATCCCGGGGAGGGCATCGTAGGAGGGATGAGGTTGTACGTACAAACTTGCCGTCGGCATCCTTCTGGGGGATCTGAGCCTTGGCCGCGGCGGTACCGGGGGCTGGGGCCGCAGGCCTACCTGGGGCACTGGGTAGAATACCTCTACGACCCTGGGAACCGACTACGTGAGTAGGCTGGTCGTTCTCCTGGTGGAGAATTGATGGCTGCGACATCATAGGGCTCTGCGCGTAAGGAGAGGCCAAACCACTCTGTGGCATGACCCCGCCAGCCGGCATAGGTCGCAGGACAGGCGGGACACGTCCACCGGGAGAAGGTGCCGGCGCGATGGGCTGAGGATGAGCGGCGGACACAGAGGCCTGGGGCATCATGGCAGAAGAGGTCGCGTAAGATTGCTGGTGTTGGTAAGGGTTGTGCATCATGGGGTACGATCCTCGACCGGAGGGCTGGGGCGGGGGAGGAGCATAGCCGCCCATAGAGGCAGGAGTGTTTGGGGTTGCAGGCGTCCGAGGAGTGTGCGGGTGGCTCGCGTACATAGACATGGCTGGATTGTGAGGCTGGAGCGGTGGCAGAGTCTGGTTCTGGCCGTTCTGCAAGTGATGGGGAGAGATCGCCGAATGGGATGGGTAAGAAGCCGTCGTAGTGTTGATCACGTTAGACGAGTAGTGGTTGTGTTCCATAATCCAGCTCTATGTCTACCCTGATGCAACGACCGCGAAGGCAGCATCCGAAGAATCAATTGCGCTAAGGACTCGAACGTGGTCTCGAGGAGAAGGTTGGGGGGGACGAAGGGACAGGGTTGCGCAGGCGATTCTGTTCGAGTTCTGTGGACGAGGGCGGCAGGGCAATCTCAAAATTGCTCTTGGGCGGCAGGAAAACGCAGGCGCAAACCACAGGTGAATTAATTGAGCCGATTGGTGCCGGAGGCCGTGAGAAACAAACACAAACAAGAGGCAGGCTGGCTAGCTTTTTGGTGGGCAGCAGCGAGGTCTGCGCGATGTTTGTGTTGGTGTTTCGAGGGTCGACGCGGTTGCTGTGTGCAGAGGCGCGTCTGAGGATCCCCCACGGTGGAGATGCGGTTTGGCGGTGGTAGCGGCGGGTTGTGGTAAGAAGTGGATAGATGAGGCTGAAGACCGTTTGGGAGGTGTTGGTGGAGTGGACAAAGGCGTTCCTCCTTTTTGGGTCCCGGCAGTAGATGTCGAAGTGGAGACTAAACTCTGTCAAATGGATGGACGAGGGAGGGAGGTGGGATGATGTGGGTTGATGTACCTCAAATATCTCTCCTTTCTTTTTTTTTTTTCTGTCGGAAGCGTCGCGCCAGTACAAAAAAAAAATCTGCCAGGTACCGAGCCAAGTGGGCAAGTTTTCAAGTGGGTTCCTCCCTCGACGTTACCCACTCCTGACAGCCGTTGAGGTACAAGAGCCCAAGGTAACGGTACGGAGCAGGGCGAAGGGCGCTAGCTTGGGTGCAAGACGGTGGGTTTGGGGGGGGGACCCTCGTCTTGAAGGGACCAGGTCGGGAAGTGGATGATCGAAAGTGGACTGAGTGGGCAGGGGGACTGGTTGTGGACGGACGAGGGGTGGTTGCGCTACTGTGCGAGCAGTACGTACTCCCAGAGCAGACTGCACTAACTGCGCAGAGAGCTTGCCCGAGGCGCGTGTCTGGCGGCGTCCGCTCGAGGTTTAGACTTTCTAGAAAGACGGCTACATCAGATGCTGTGCACCACCTCGTGCTGTCAAGGTGGGAAGAAGTTTCTTTCCACGCCTGTGCGAAGCAGAAGCAGCCACAGCGAAACCCGAGCTAAGCCAAGGGTCGAGAGGGCCGGTACGACATGGACATGCTTCTGCAGTCCGTCCGCCGCACTGACGAGGTCGCACGAGCGCATGCATGCTGTTCCCCTCTGGGCTCTGCGCGGTGCCAGAGGGCTGCGTCCAGCGGCTACTTGGTGGATTGACAGATTGGGGGGCATTGGACGTTGCCTACCTGGGCGTCTGTACGGAGTACGTGCGACGATTCGCAACCGAAATGGGTGGTGGTGGTGGATACGCACCAGCGGTTGGGCATGCGGGAAGCTTAGGGACGTACTCTAAGTATGTCGCAATGTGGCAGGGAGGGTGGGGGATACGAAAGAGGAGGCCATTAAGGTTTGGGGTAGACTCTGGAGGAGTGTATACGTGTAGAATGCAGGATGCAGAAACGCAGAAACGCGGAATGGCTGCTTGGTGAAGCGAGAAACAACCGAAAAAGTGACTTTTCACGTCTGCGCAGCGGTTTCTCTCCGACATGGCAGCACGAAGAGGGCAGCGAGCAAGTAAACTTTGTGCGATGAGCTACCTAGAGGTATGCACAGTTCTGTTATAAGATCGGAAAGGACGAGACACTTTCCAAGAGATCAGACACCGGCGGCAGCACTTTCTTCTTCTCCCAATTTTTTTGCGTTATTCGGATGGTCGTCGCCAACTGGTCAATCTAGAGAACGCCTTGCCTTCAGCTCAAAGTGGTGGCAGAGAAGAACGGAAGAGACGAGGGCTGATATTTCGCTCTGTTCGTGACGAACACCCTTCTCTTCCTAATTTGCCCTGTCTTTCCTTTTCCCTTTCATTCCTTTTTTTTTTTTCCAGGTCTTCTCCGTTCGCCTCTCCTTTCCCACAAGTAAGCCCTCCGACGTGGAATACGACGATAGGCGCCGTACACAGTACGAGCAACGAGGTGGCTGACCGCCCCAATTCACCGTCCTCGCTCGAAGAACGAAAGCACCGCCATCGGCCTCGTGATGAGGTCGAGCACAACCGCACTGGGCAGCCGACGATCCGTCTCATCCGTGGGAATGAGACTCAGAATTCAATGCTCACCACACGACGAGTCGAATGCAGTCCAAGCCCGTCCAGTGAAGCACCGCATCGGCTGGGAACAGAGCTGCCTCTGCCCTGTTTCGCCGTCGCATACTCCCTCCTGGCAGGCTGGGCAAAGACTTGCATGTCCTCAATCGAAACATTCTTCCGGCTCCCCCAAGCAATGACAAAGCAGCGACCAATCTGTACTACCGCAAGCTAACCTCATACAGTAATTCGTGCACCAACCAAACCCTGGTGCCTTCAGGTGATGGGGGCGAAGCAAAGACCAGAGTTCTTCACAACAGCTTTAGTGCACAGCACGGTTTGGGCTTTCTTGTTTCCCCTGATACATCACACATACGGCCATTCTCAACTCTTCCGTCGTCGAAAGCATTGGACAGCCAGGGTGGGCGATGGGTATGCACGCGGGACAGCTCGACGAATGGAACACTCCTAGCCACACGAATCGTTGACACTCGGCACACCTAGTGACTGTTGCATCAGGACGCAGTCATGGCAGTGTCCAAAACTCGCGCCAGCACCAGTGTAACGTCAATGCCGGCCGAATCTTACATCCCCGACCCTTGCTGGGTGGCCAGGGCACCGTTGTGTGGGACGCGCGTTGGTCATGGTCACTCTGCCCGCCCGTGTGCACCCAGAGGTACATGCTTCGAGGAGCTCGGCACAACCGTCGGCAGTACCTCTTGGAAAAGTACCGGCACCCTCCCTGGAAGCAGAGCCCACCCAATCTGCCATCCTGTCTCTCTAATCTAATCAGTCGAAACGCGTTATCATTCTCGTTCTTCCAGCGGCTTGAAGTGCGCATAGCGAAAGCTGCGAACTAGCTGCACGAAATCCAACAAGCTTCAACAAGGTCGTTGTCATGCTATGTCTGCTTGACCGTTCGAGTCATCCACCATAGCTCTGGGTTGCAGCGTCCAGGAAACGAGTGTCATAATGTGTCAGATCCACGCGACTCGACGATGACGGACAGCTGACCTCTTTTCTGCCGCCAACACCGCCCAGTATGTTCGGCGTGCCGCCTGGCGGGCAACACGTACTGCATACTAACTTGAGAAGAAGGGGCGGTAGCAGTCACAACCTGGGTTTTCGACTGTCGATCTCAAGGTTTCGAGATTCGTGGCTGTCTAGCTGCTTTGACATGCAGCATGGTGGTGTCAACACCCAGGGCTGATCTCGATGATAGCGAGGTTGAAGATCTGTAGGAATGAACAGAAGCAGTCTGCCTGCAGGCAACCCGAACATGCCGGCGTTGGAGCAGCGCATTCCCCTCTTGGAGTGCTACAGATTGACAAACAATGCGGTGGTCCCACGGCCCTGGTGAAAGCACTAGTCGTTCGTCTAGGTGTTGGGGGGAGTAGCAAGGTTGGCCCCAGGGCTCGTATGCTTCCAGAAACGACTGATCGAATCACTGGGCCCCTCATCCTGACTTCCAGGCACAGTTCAAACTCAAGAGTCCCTGCAAGTACCGTCACCATGAAGGCATGATGCAATCTGTGGTCCGTGAACACGGGAACGACCTGACAAGAATAGCAATCACTGCATGAGTTTCTCTGAATGATCATGAGCCCACGATGACCTCAGGGAGTACCCTCGACTCCAACGGAAATGGCTTCAAGTCCCGGTCTTAATCTTAGATCAGCTCCAGGTTCATGTGGCAGGCAGGATGCTCCTGATTCTCGATTGCAGGTCAGGAAGTGGTCGGCTTCCTCGAATGACCACGCTGAGGGACAGAAGGTGGTGTAAAGATTACCCAAAAAAAAACAGACACGCGGTGTACCAAACGTTTGGGATGGTGAACCTGGGACAACTTGCGAGTCCCTATTTCCCCTACCTTGCGGCGAGTCAAGAGAGGGCGAAACAGGCCCAAAACATCGCCTTGGCTCTCGAGTGCCTCCCTGCCTGCCTCCCACCCTTGGTACTGCCTGACTCGGGGCACAGGCCGGTTCAGCATCGACGCCGAGATTAAGCAAATTGTTGACGAGCAACCCCCCAATTGCCTTCCTCTGACAGTCTAATGACGTAAAGCCTAGCCCGCCCACAACCATCCGAAGTCGGGTCGGGGAAAAGGAGTTTTCTTTGCTGCGTTGCCAGTAACAGGCCCGCGTGATCGTACGGGAGGACACGGAGGGTTGCTGCGAGTGCTCCCAAGTCGCTGCTTGAGCAGTTCTGAGGGAAACCGATGGTGCGTGGCGGAGAAGCCTGGTCCTCTCAACCACTTTTCTTGGGCGATCCTCGTACCTACCATGCTCCATGGAGTAGTCGTGGAGCTAGAATGGGACTGCGGTACGGCACGCCTCTCCTGGGATGGAGACAGAGCAGCTCGATGGTTTCGGGCATTTTGACATTTTGGAGTCCATGGTCCATCAAAGATCTGCCCAAATCTTGGAGAAGCTTGGGGGTTTCCCTCTCTCAGCTTTGAAGTTTGGGGTCGAAAGAGTGGGCTCGGGGGCCCGAATGTAGTGACAAGCAGCGATGACAAGCCTGGGCTGACTGTTTGGCATCCTTCCCCAAGGGTTCACGGCAGGAGCTTTAGTGGAGGACCCTGCGGGCTCCATCAGCCCGAGAGCGTGGACGATCTTCGGAAAAGGCCCCATAGGCTCTGTACATCTGCGCCATGTACCGCGTCTAGAAGCTATCAAGCCCCATCCGAACGTTCTTTCGGCGGCATCGCGAATCCACTTTCGCTAGCACGCGGCTTGGGATCTTGTACGACACCAAACCTGCATTCGACATCGCAGCTAATCCTTCAATGACAGCAAGAGCCATGACGACGTATTCCGCAGATGCGAGATCGGATCCAAGGGCAAACGACTTGGCCTGC